ATGGATCAGACCATCAAATCTCAGAGGGAAGGTAGGGGAGGGTGGGATAAGGTCAATCAAAGGACTTGTATGCATCCATATAAGTCTAAGCAATGGACACAGACACCAGAGGGGTGAGGGCATGATTGGAGTGGGGGGATAATGGGGGAATAAAGACACATATGTAATACCGTAATCAATAAAGGGGAAAAAAGATGTTAAATTGAGATTTCACTAGTAGAATGCTAGTATCACCTTGTATGGTATAGTATGGCATGATTATGGATCAAGAGAATAACATTCTATAATCTTCTGCAATACTACAGTATAGTAATAACTGTGAAAACTAAGTTGTAGTACTTTTTACAAAGCACTCTGTGGTATTGAGAGTTCAGAGTACAAGAAAGTACTGTTGAGCTGACTGAAAAATACTAGTTTGTCTTTGCAGAGCAATGTTAACCAAACACATATATGTTGGAATCATTTTCTACATTATATTGCTTCTAAAGACTATAATTTAATTCTCATAGTTTCCCAACTTAAAAATATGAAAGTAGAAGTATAGCACTCTTACTAAACTGTAAAGGTACAATCTGAGGAAGATGCCCAGATAGTGAAGGCTTTGGAAACCATATTTTTTTTTCAGGAATGGCTAAAGGAAAGGAAGGATGGTTAATGAGAAGAGAATTAGAATCATATGATGTTCTTTCAAATATGTAAATAAGAAAAAGATGAACTTTATAGTGGAGAAACTTGGCAAATAACACCTTAATCAAATGATCAAAATGAACATCAGGATGTGAGGGCCATCTGGCTGCAACATCTGTCACACTACTGATCGCCACAGTTGGTTTGGCTGATCTAGCTGGGTAGGCAGGTGTCCTCTTCCTCTCTCACTGATCCATGTGTATTCCCCTCCAGAAGCTGCAAGCTTGGTTGAAGAGAACATTTCCAGATAGAGGAGAGGACCTCTTCTCTCCTCTATCTCAGGGCAAGGGTACATGAGTAGCTGCACTCCCCTGCTAAAGCCTCCATCAAGATCTCAAAATGAATATCAACAGTAATGGAACAAAACAAAATCATGTGTTGACTGACAGGATTCAAAGAGAACCTGAATCTAAACAAAAGTAAATAGCACACAAACCAAAAATTAGAAATGTTTTGCCGAAACTGGTTTGGCTCAATGGATCGAGTGTTGGCTTGGGGACTGAAGGGTCCCGGGTTCAATTCCAGTCAAGGGCATGTACCTTGGTTGCGGGCATATCCTCAATGGGGGGTGTGCAAAAGGCAGCTGGTCGATGACTCTTTCTCATCGATGTTTCTAACTCTATCTCTCTCCCTTTCTCTCTGTACAAAATCAATAAAATATATATTTAAAAAAATTAGAAATGTTTTATAAAATAATTGGCCTGTGGATCTTCAAAAGTGTCATGAGTATGAAAGTAAAAAAGAGAATGAAGGAATTTTAGAATGAAGGAGACTACAGAGGCAGTACAAATAAATATAACTAGAATTTGAACTAGACCCTCTGCCATAAAGGACATAATTGAGACAACTGGTGAATCTAGAATGAGGTCTGAGGACTGGATAGTACTATTATAACAATGCTAATTTCATTATTTTGATGGTGGTATTGTAGTTATGTAGCAGCAAGTCCTTGTTTGTTGCATATATACACTATTCAGGGGGCATCAGTTCAACAATTAATCTCAAATGGTTCAGGAAAAACGTTTTTTATGCTATTCTTGTAACATTTCTATAAGTTTAAGATTATCACTTTTAAAAATTTAAAACAAGTATTCAGATATTCAGAGTCATGATATCACTTAAAAAGTGGGGAAAAAATACAATGTGAATTGCTGTGGCCTGGAAGAAGGCTTCTGTAGACTCCAGAGAGATAAGCTAACATCACTGGGTAGAAATTACCAGGAGGCAAATTTCATCTCAGTATAAACTAATATAATGAGAGTTGTCTGAGAACCAATCAACAGGACTACACTGTGAGTCAGTGAGTTCCCTGTACAAAAAAGGAATTAAATAGACAATGGAAGTTCACTTTACAAAGGTATTGCTAGAAAGCATTTTTCTTTTGAAAGCTAGACTAGATGATGTAAATGTCCGTTTCAACTTTATAGGACTAGTATGTCATGGTTCTATTTCTTTTAAGTAGCCCTGTGCTTTGAATCCTGAGTAACCACTGTCCTAGAATAATAAAGACCTCCTAGGCACTTCCCCCTTCTTCAGAGCCCTGCTATGGTCTTTAATAACACCAAAGGCTTCACTTCTGCAATAAAGATTAGTAACTGGCCAGAGCATTCAGGGACTGTAGGAAATCTCCTTTACATAAAAGAATTCTACTCATCATTCAAGACTTATCTCAAAGGTTCCCTATGCTGTGAAATTCACTGCAAATAGAGTTTGTGTCATCCACTTTGCATAAAAGCACTGCTACTTCTAGAGCAAGACTGATTGATTCTATTGTATATTTTCAACTCCTAAAATACTTTTCCTTAAAGATGGGTGCAAAAAGTTTAACAATTTTTTTATGCATCAAAAAGTATGTGTATAGTCATCTACTTCTACTCCTATCCCTAAACTTTGTAGTCCTGCAGGGCCTGGAAGCTATTATTATTCATTTTTTAATCCTTTCACAGGTCTTGCAGTGCTTGAGCCTCAAGTAGTTTGGCACACTATCATCAGCCCCCATCAAACAGCTTAGAATCTAAATCGTTCCAGGACAAACAAAAATATATGTCTCCCTTTCTCTCTCTTTCCCCTTCCTTACCTCCCACTGTCTAAAAATTAATGGAATATATAGATATCAAAGATGAGCAGAACCACAGAAAGCAAATACAGTACAAAACTAGTGTCAAGGATACAGAGACTGGGGACTTTTTAAATTCAGGACTCAGGTTTCATCCACTCCTGTATTCACAACATCCAAGCATAGTAGCATAATATATGCTCAAGAACCATTTGATGAATGAAATAGTCTCACCTTTAAATATGTCTTTTATGAGTGGTGCTACTGCTGTATTGAAGACTTCCTCCTGCTCAGCAGAAGGGTCAAACACAAAGTCATAGGTGAAGGATTTGTCAGTACCAACCACCACCTAGAGAAGGCAGGAGAAAAGAGGAAGAAAAAGATGAAAGGTCAGACCACACCCCTCACTGTCCATTGGCCTGAGGTGTCCCGATGGGGGCCCAGGACTTTTACGCACCTGTGGTTCTCCGGGTACAAAGGAAAGGCACGTCTGACAGCCCTCGCTAATCTCTTTGGGAACCAGAGGGCGACATCGTAGTGCCACTCTTACAGGAATTCCCTTCACCTCTTCAGTCATGATCCTACCTCAGCACCGTGTCTGAAGAAAAAAAAGAAAAAAAAAGAAAAGAGGCTTGCTGATGAATCTCGGTGGGCTGGCTGCGGTGGGAGCGCGTCCTTCCGGAATTCCGACCATCCGCAGGGGGTGGGGGATGGGTTACTGACCTCAGCGTCGGTGAGGCAGCCCCTTCTCTCAGCAGGGTTGCAGCCGCTGGAGGGTCACTCTCCCTCGGATTTGGCCAACACAAGACGGCCCGGCAGCCCGATACTCTAAAAACGGCGACGTGTCCTCTAAATGGAAAGAAAACCCCCGGCGGAGGCGTCGGCAAAGACCCACAGCCCCAGGGCACCGGGAAAGGCAGTTCCTAAGGTGTATTCCCTTCGCTCGCCAAACTAAACGTACCTTCCCTGGTCTTCCCGCTGCCCCGTCCTAACCGGATATTTAACCGCCAAGTTTCAAATGGGCCCTGGAGACGCCAGCCAATCGGAATGCAGACAGGCGGCCCGGAGGCGGTGTGCGCAGACGCTGTAGGAAGGGGTGGGCCTGCGCGCCGCACGTCGATCCCGCCCCTCGGGACCCGTCGTAGTATCTGCTTCCGGTTCTCAGGCTGATTTGGCGGCGCGTGGAACCTGCGCTGGCCGAGGCCTTGTTGGCAGGTGAGATATCACGGCGGTTACTTCTTAGAACGCGCGGAGCTCAGGCAGGAGGCGGGGAGGAGGTTTGAAGGGGGCAGAGGGTGAAGGAAGGGTTGATATGGGAACCGTCACAATTACCGATCACATCTAGGGAATGTGGGCGGTGCCATGCCTCCAGTCCCTGTGTGGTGGGCAGTTTGACGTGAGCAGAGCGAGGAGGAAGGGCCAGGTACCCAAGGTCACCAGGGTGGAAAGCCCCGGATGCCTAGCAAAGGACAATTGTAGGGTGGGATCTTGCCCCAGAGTGGCATTTCCTCCCCTAGCTGCTAGGGCCTAGCATAGCATATACATGGTCAAGCAGTTTGGACCCCCTGACTTTTCCTCCCTAGAGATAACATCTAAGCCTCAGGTTTATTTCAGCTCCAGGACCAGATAAGCAACAAAAGCAGCCACAGGTGACCTCAGGACCAGCTGCATTGGATAATGACCCCGCCCCCACTCTGGTGCCCTCCAATCAGTAGAGACCTAGACCTTGAAAGGACACACCTGGAAAACGGCTAAATAGTCTATTGAGATCTTCCCCTTGGACTTCTCCTAATATCTCCACCCTTACAACCCTTAGGGTGCTCTCTCCCTCCAGGGAGCACTCCAGCGCCTTTCCCTAGATACCATCTATCCCCATGGGTGTAATGCCTGCCACCTACAACACCTGTGGATAGTGGTGTCAGCACTCCCTTGGACTTTGAAAGTAGACAGATCTTTTGAGATGCCATCCTGCTTGCCTCTTCTCTAGGTTGAAGAGAGTAACATCTATTTTTCAGGTTGTGAAAAAGGACATCATCTCTATAGAGGACCTAGCAGGTTGCTTAGCATCCAGATATCCAGAAAAGTTCATTGTTTTCTTCCTTCTTTCCACCAGTCTATCACCTAGAAGTGAGCTGATACCATAGTTGAAAGTCTTAGATAGGTTGGAGTTGTTTTCTGAAACTTGCTGGGCTACTCTCCCTTTTGAGTCATCTTTGTCAGTTTTGATTCACTCTTCCATTTCAGAGCCTTGCCAGAGATGGACAGCAGAATTCCTTATGATGACTACCCAGTGGTTTTCCTGCCTCCCTATGAGAATCCCCCAGCATGGATTCCTCCTCATGAGGTGGGAACCATCTATAATCTTGAATAGCTGATTTTTCCCCATGGGCATGAGATAATTTATGAAAGGTAGGATAGCAGGGTTAGAAAACTCAATGGAGAATGATTCTTAGCCTTTGGTGTAGCCAAGGAACTCAGAAATTGGATTCTGAGCAACTGGGCCCATTGAAAGCTTATGGAAGCCTCCTTCCAGAGTCCATTCATACCAGAGAATTCTTGAAATTCAGAGCCCTTCTTTCAATTCTGTCAAAGAAGTGGAGAGCTACTGGACTACTAGCATTTCCCCAAGCTATTCACCTACCCATTTGGACAGTGTTATCTGTTCTCTTTAAACTAAGTCCATGACTTTACCTTTTCCTGACTTCAGGGTGATACATTTGTGTTCCAGATGAAGATGGTTATAAAATCTAAGACTGGTAGTAAGATTTCTGGGGTTGCTGTGTCTTGCAGAGAGTATACCATCCAGACTACAACAATGAGTTGACCCAGTTTCTGCCACGGACCGTCACACTAAAGAAGCCCCCTGGAGCTCAGGTGAGCTAATGGAACAATGATGTCTTATTCCAGGCTAAATTTGTTCACACCAGACCTAGAAGTCAGCTGTGGTTGGGAGTACAGATTGGGAAGCAGGTAAGGAGGTAAGGATACTACCTTTATTGGGCAGAAAGCTGAGGTACCGTTTCCATAACTTCTGACTTCTCTCTGAGGGACACATAGCCAAGCTATCATATAGTGATGCTACTAGATATTCTTGTGTTTGTTGTCAATATTGAGCTCCCATTCTGTGCTCTTGTCTTGCAGTTGGGATTTAACATCCGAGGAGGAAAGGCCTCCCAGCTAGGCATCTTCATCTCCAAGGTGAGTGAGTGTACCTGGTAGGCAGTATGGATAGCTGCTTCCCTTCGTTATCAGATTGCAGAACTGTGATTTCCCAGAGCCTGGGAGAAGGATGATGTAGTAGACTCTTAGAAGGGCATAATGGGGGAACTCTTTCCCACTTTCCCACTTAAAACTTCCCACCTGGCAAGCATCTGTTTCCCTACATTTTTACGCACATGTGCGTACACACACACACATCCCAGAACCTTATATTTGGATAGCACTTAATTTCACTTACAGTCTTTGAAATTATCCCACCTCAATCAGACATATTCTCTCCTTACCAACAGGTGATCCCAGACTCTGACGCACATCGAGCAGGACTTCAGGAAGGGGACCAAGTCCTAGCTGTAAATGATGTGGATTTCCAAGATATTGAGCATAGCAAGGTGAGCACAGCACTTGGGCTGTGGTGAGCCAAAAAGCGATCCCAGGTAGGACAGGTTGGACAGGATTAGCCTAATCCAGTGGTCAGCAAACTTGCTCTCAAGCCACATGCAGCTCTTTGGCCCCTTGAATGTGGCTCTTCCACAAAATACCAAGTGTGGACGCACACATATAAGTGTGATTGAAACTCCGTGGCCCGTGTGCAGAAGTCATGTTTTTGGCTCTCAAAGGAAATTTCAGTCGTCGTACTGTTGATATTTGGCTCTGTTGACTAATGAGTTTGCCAACCACTGGCCTAATCTGTATGTAGCTTGGTCAGAAAGAATCTCTCCTGAGGAAGTGTACAGAAGGAAGCAGCTGTTAGTGACCTAGAAAGTTGGAGTGGCAAATGACTTTCCTCCTGTTATGATTCTGTCCTGGGTTATATCTTCATTTGTACAACCAGTTTTGCTCATTTCAGGCTGTTGAGATCCTGAAGACAGCTCGTGAAATCAGCATGCGTGTCCGCTTCTTTCCCTACAGTAAGTGTCGCTCTCTCTTTTCTTACTTGGAAGGGCCCTGGGTAGGAACTCTTGAAGTCCTGATTATTAGAGACCCCATGAGTTGGGAGCTCAGGCCTCAAGATAACCTTATTTCCTCCTTTTCTTTTTTCTTTTCCCCAGATTATCATCGCCAAAAAGAGAGGACTGTGCACTAGAGAGCTGCAACCCACAACCCTTCACTTGAAATCTTCTAGGACAAGCTCGGAACCTCAGGGAAGCCACATACAGTCTCAGGCATTTCTGAGACTCCCGTAGGACCCTGTTTTCCTTCCTCTCCTTCCTATTCTCTCCTCCAGAAAAGAAAACACCATGCTGAAGAAATGTCGGTGTGGCTTTTGGATGATACTCATTGAGTGTAAAATGCTATTGAGACAAAAATAAAAGCTCTTTCAAAGATAAGAGCCGCACGATGTAACAGAGCAACACTATACCTACTTGACAATTATCTCTATTGGCCCAGAACAGCAGGGAGGCCGGGAAATCTTAGCTACAGTATAGCTGAGGAATGGTATAAGGTGGAGAGTACTGGAGAAAACCTGCCATTTCCTCTATGATCTTTGGACAATTCTCTTAGGAATAGGGGGAGGGGAGCAATATTAATATTGTTCTGTCCTCTCCTTTCCCTGATTCTTTGAACCAGAACATAAGCTAAGGGAGAGGCTTACGTGCATTTATTTTCAGGGATAACAGTAAGAAATTGGTTCCCAATTTCCAACTTAAGTAGCTTAAGTAGTTCTGACAGCTGACTTCCCCCTTTTCTTCACCCCAGCCCCTAAATAACCTTCTGCCATGTTTTTAGTTCTTTAGTCACAATCTTTTGTTAGAGATTCCAGGCCACACTTTATGTCATTTTCATTGGCATGTTCAAAATACCCATTCAGAACAGAAACTTTTCTAATAAGACATATGAAGTTCCCCCATAATGAAAGTCCCAAATTTTCCTTAAAAGAATGCTGGGAAGCTTAAGTATATATTTCCAGTCCCCTTCCCCTCGAGAGTGATTTTGTTGGTCTGAGGTGGAGCCTGGAAATCTGAAAATTTTAAGTAAATTAAGTCTTCAAATAAGGGAAACAGTTATAAATACAGTAGTAGTGCTATATCTCTATGAGGAAGTTCTGGATCTTCCTGTAAATCCATCCTGTCTCTGCTATGGTGCATGTTCTAGAGGCTTGGTGCCACTGTCAGGTAGCAACATCCTTGTGTGCAGAGCTGGAGGCAGAACTCATTTAGTAGTCTGTATTTCATGGAAATTCCCTTTTACTCTGTTCCTACTGCTCTGCTGCCCCCCAGTGGCCATATGAGAAAGAAACTTACTTGCACAAAGGCATATTGGCTGAATCTACTGCATGTTGAGATCCAAGACTATCCCTATTGTTAACTCATCTAAGAGGTGTAAACTAAAAAGTCCCAGCCAGGTACCATGGGCCTAGGAGGCAAAACTCCTCCTGCCCTAAATTGGTTCTCTGTGGTGCTTGGAATGGTTCAGGGTTGGTTGGAGTACCAGATGCAGTTGCAATAGCTATAGCATGGAGAAAGTGCAAGCAATGACAGGCCTCTGGGGCAAAAGGACCAGTTTATTGAGAGTGTAGATAACAAAACTGGAGAATGAAGTGTATTGGCCTTTGAGGTATCCCAGCTGCTGTAGAACTGCATCCCCTATAGTGATGCAGTTCTTAGTTATCAGTGAAGGTAAAGTGAGATTCCTGAGCCCTGCAAGAACTTTCCACCCATAACTGTGAGATGCAGGCAAGGAAGAAATGCTGGCACTTCCAGGTGTTTTGTTTTACTTCTAAGCCCCTTAATTAGATGAGAGCTTAGTAAGTGGCTGAGTATTTAAACCATAAACCTGAGGGTGGAGGGTAAGGACTGGTACTGGGAGGCCCAAATGCAATAAATTCATCAAATTAGGCAAACAGCTTAAGCCCGTGGTCGGCAAACTGCGGCTTGCGAGCCACATATGGTTCTTTGGCCCTTTAAGTGTGGCTCTTCCACATTAAAAATTAGACTCTCAAAAGAAATTTCAATCGTTGTACTGTGGATATTTGGCTCTGTTGACTAATGAGTTTGCTGACCACTGGCTTAAGCTATCATCAGGAACAATGACTTTTGATGCCTGATGCGTCAGAGGGCTCCAGTTAGATTTCAACCACTGAAGTGTGTTAAGGAAAGTAATAGAGAGGTGGCTGGGGTCAAAACTCCAACTTTCAGGAGCAGCTTCTAGAAGACAAGAGGAATTCTGATTTTACGACCCCTTTCACGTAAAGGCAAACCAGAGAACTACTTTGGTCTGAGTTAGTCCCTTGTCTCTTCAATATTAGGGAGAGAAATTGGCCTGGCCATCAACTCAGCAAGGGAAGTTTGCCTTCTCTGCTTGTAACCCGAGAAAAAAGGCTGGAATAAAGGACACTCTTCTTCCTTCAATGGAGATGAATTACTTCTGGAAGGAAGGTCAGAAGCAATGCACATGAATATCTCTGTGTGAGTGTGTGAGAGAGGTGGTTATGGAGGGAGAGAGAATGGTGATGGGCAAAAGGAAAAAGACATGATTCTGGGCCTTTTTATTGCATAATGGGGACATGAACCATACCCTTACCCCATGATAGGACAAGCCAAGGTTATCTGAAAGAGTAAGCAGTGGTGGGTGGCTAGAGCCAAGAGTGTCAGGGAATTACAAAGAATAGTTATTTTTTACATTATAACTGGTTTCAATAAACATTATATTGAAGTCTGGATTTTTCTTCCCCTTTTCTGTAGAGACTTGTCTGGACAAATGAGAAATTATGTAAGGGACCAGGTAGTGATAAGACCCTTTCTGACCAGATTTAGTGGGTAGAAATAGATCCTTCTCAAGATAATGATGCCTCTCTAGGAATAGGAACTCTAGAAGCCTTGAATCCATAATCTTCCTGACCCCGGACACTGGTAACTTCTCCCAAGCTTAGTAGACCCTCCCCACAGAGATGAATCTCTAGGTATTCCAGAAAAAGTTGTAGTTACACCTTACCTTTTATTTGGATCAATCTTAACTACCAACATGATGACTACATTATCACCTTTCTTCCTGAACATTTTCTACCCATTTATCTGTCTCTGAAAGAATTGATGTATACAAGAGAATGTGTTGTAGAGTGTTGAAACAGTAGAGGTTTAGAGAGAATAAAGTCTCTGTCCTTCCTCTCACCTTTCCTTACCAAACTCCCTATTGCTTACCTCCATCCCTTTTTCAAATAAAACAGCATAACACCCCCCTTGTGATGTCATAGACAACCCCTGCAAATATTGAATTATAATGTAGCTAGGAATTAGGTTGCAAAAGTGGTGCTGGTCAGCTATGTCCCATAGATGCAGTTGAACCTGCATAAAACAAAGGTGGAGAAAGATAGGCAAGAAACTAGCCCTTTAAAGGGTAGGACTTAAAGGCAAAATAAAAAGAGTCAAGGAATCTAGGTCCTTGAATACTGGCTACTATGGCCACAAACCAAGTGACCTACCATTCTAGGACAGATCCAATGTTAATACTGTTTTGATTAAGGAAAACCCTACAGAGCAGCAGATTAAGACGTCAAAGCCTCTTGGATTTTGTCTGTGTTACAGTTTAAGTTTAAATAAGGACAGAGAACAAGAAACAGAACAGGGCTGCTTCATGCTTTCCTTCCCCTTTATCCATAAATAATCTGGGGTAATGAGAAATTATGTAAGGGACTAACTAGTGATAAGACTACCCCATTGTGACCCATATGCTCCAGTGATTGAGGTATAGGGTTAATGATATGAGGGTGAACATTCACTATTTATTCCTCCAAGTACATTATCTTAGAAAGTCAATCCAATGGTTGCCTGTATATAGAGATACTTTGTACTCTCCCCCAATACCAGGCAGCCTTAGAACTATAGTGGAGAATGACCCTTGAAAAGGTTGTCCTGCTCAACTTCTCAACACTTACAATAGATCACTTTGAGCATAATGTGAAAGGGCCAAGAAAGGGGGCAAAATGTACCTCATGATGCCTTGGTGGAGGGCTCACCTGACCAGTGCAGTTGAAGCTGAATCATTGAAGCAAGTGGTGATTGATGTCTTCCCCACTGTGAGACAGAGGAGTAAGCCATTTGTCACCATGGGTGAACCAGAGCAGCTTCTACCCCATTCCATACTGTCACACCTCCTTATCCCCCGAGCCCAACACAGACCTCCATCACTCTGCTCTCCCAGGAACAGGAGTTTGGATTTACAAAGAGACCTGTACTGGGATCTCTCCTAGGTTTCCAGATGGAAGACTCTCAGAGCTCTCAGTCCAACTGCTATTCAAAACATCAGTGGACATGCATAGCACTGTCCACTGGCAGGCAGCTCTAGCTGTTCCTTTCTCTGTGGCAATGGTTGATCACAGGGTGGGAGTAGGGGTAGGGGGGAGTGGGGGCGAGGATAGACAGTATCTGAGGGAAAGTTGAAGGACCCACCAAGGGAACAGCGTGCCAGAAGGAAGTCAGGGGATCATTTAGGGGGAAAACACCTGCTATATGAAGAAGGAAGTGCTCCTTCTGGTAGTTCCATTACCCTCCGGAAGGAGGAAATATCAAAGAGAATGCCAGCCATGTCTGGACAAGCTGATTTATTAGAGCATTACAATGGGGCTCACACACAAGCGCCAGAGCCAGCTGCTCACCTTCCCTGTCCCCCTCCATGGACAAAGCCTTCTGACTCTCCTTGATGCAGTCACTGCTGAGGCTCCTGCCAGGTAAACTCCTGGATGACTATGTACTCAGAGCATGCAGAAGCAGCAGAGGGGACTGGAGGGTTAGGAACAAGGCTCTGGGCATCCTCCACATTCCCTCTTCCTAATCCCAGAGAAGTAATCCCTTTCCTGTCTCCTGGCTCAGATCCTTGGCTGCCTCTGGGTAGCCCCCCTGCACTCCCAGATCAACCATGTGAGATTGTTTCCCTTCACTCACCCCTTCCTTAACCACTCAAACACAAATGTTGCTTGAGTCCCGAAAGGGAAATTAGAATGGAGGGATGGATGGAGGAAAGGGATCGAAGAATGAAAGAAGTAAAGGCAAGAGGGCAGGCTAGAATGGAAGAGAAGGGTGGGGTGGGGGGAGATCCCTAGAGGAGCAGGGGTGGTGAGAGAGGGGTGCAGGAAGGGAAAGGAGAGTG